TTTTTGCATATTTTGCATTTTTAGTAATTTTAAAATGCATAATTTTTAATTTTGCATCGCACGAACCCGTGGGCTCTGTTCCAACCTCTAGTTGGTTGCGTAAACAAATTTTAATTAAGCTAATAATATTTGCTTCAAACTTAAATGCGTGTTTCAAATTATGTGCTAACATGAAAAAATGCTTTAAGAATAAAATATAATTACAAGTTTTCCATAAGGTTATGTATGATTTTTTGCTTACTTTTTTTTGAAGTTTTATTGACAATCTTCCAGAACGACGTTCATTATCAAGTTTATTAAGCTTTTTCTTGCTTTCTCAGGTTGGATTGCTTTCGGGCTGCAATATTTTTTATAATTTATTTAATTTATTTGTATTGAGAACTGCGTCGATTGAATATAGTTATGGTTTTTTTTTAGATTTTAAATTTCTTTTTTCGTTCTATGACAAACCATAATAACGGATTTGTTTAATTACGTGTATTACTACTCATAATTAATTAATTATACATTTATTTTTATTTAAACATAGTTAATTATTTTATACTGATTTTAACTATTACTCTATCGCTATTACAAAATTAATTGTGATTTATGTTTGTTATTTTAACAAAGTTTCAACGCTTTATTGAAATAAAAACTGTTTATTTGATATTTTAAAATCTTATATGTTATCAAATTAATTGCTCTAAAGATTATTAAATTAAAGGTAATTAGGAATTTATCAAAATTTAATGAGTTTGATAATATATTTACTTTTCTTTAAATATTAAATTTTTAACATAAAAAATTTTTTGAAGGTAAATATAAGATTCTAACATAATACTTAATAATTTTTATTATAAAAGTTTATGGTTAAAGAGAAAAGCATTACTTCTATGAAAGAGTCATGAATAACCATTTAAAAATTTTAGTAACCTTTACAGCAGGAGTACAGAGGAATAAAAATCTAAGTGTCGAAATTTCCTTAATCTTCCATTGCTGACTGCTAAGCTTTTCAGCTGCAGTATTCTCTATTTTACCAAATCAAGTGTAATATTATCAGGAAAATAATTATAAACCAGTTGTTTAGGCTTTCTCGATGTTCCTTTGTTCGTTTTCAGGTAGTTCATTAATTATAGTACAATGTGTTTCCAAATTCATAGCAGCAAGGCAGAATTCATCTTCTACTTCCATATTATCGACTGTTAATTACTATAATATTGTTTATTTATGCTTCATTCATGTCAATGAATATCGCATTGTAAAATACGACAAAAATTTTGGTATTGCATGTTATGCAAGTCCATACCAAATTTAATTTTCTATTTACTGCAGATTGGGCAAAATTCATCTTCTGAGGGCCATTGGGAATATAAAAAAATTTAGAGCTAATATATAATAGATAATATAGATAGTTGGTGATGGAATCTTGAGACGCCTGCAAAATTTGATTCTAACCTACGTAAAAATATGAAGTTTTGTTGATATATTGAGATGATATTTTGACGAAAATGATTTTAATCGTCTCTTTAAAATATAATACGAAATTATTTAAATAAAGTCACTGGCATTTCCGGATTTTCAAATACATTAAAACCTTTTAATTTAACATATATTACGTAGCTAAAGTTTGAAAGCTTACGTAGCACTAGGTAACGGGAACCGTTAGGAGCGTCCGAAGCATTCAACATACAAATATCTTTAATACTGTTTATTTATAAAGTTAAAAATATGATTAATTAAAAAAACGTCTGTATTACTAAATTAAAAATTATCAATTTCTAACTTTATTAGAATAATTTAATCGTATTCTATAATTGCGTCACGTTGATCTTTTTAAATAGTTACGAAAAACTGAAAAAATTAAGTATTGACAGAAATGTGATTGGCAGATCACGCGTCGTGACAGACACCACCCACATGCATAGTTTCAGCTCTAACCGGACGCTTACGCTTCGGACAATTAAACCCCATTTTTATTTAATAAAAGCTTATTATTTCTTAATTATTTGACCCGTTATTTAATCACGTCAAGGTAAATTAAAGAACTTCTTTATATAATCATTAAATTCTGAACGAAGCTTAAAATATTTTTTGACTTAATTCTATAATACATAATTATTCCTTTTATAGCTCATTAATTATTAATATAATCTGAATTGAAAAATTTATACATTTTAACTAAATAAATAATCTTTAAATTATTCGTAATGCCTTTTTGTATTTTACCAAATCAAAAATAGTCAAACGATTCACCCTTCAAACATAGACTATTTTTTTCATGTAAAAAAACTTGTTAGGTTGACAACCTAAAGAACAATAAATAAACTAAAAAATATAATCACACAATATATTAATCCTTGCTAATTTGTCAGTACTAATATAATAACATTAATACTGAAGAGCCGATATTAGAAATTAGTGATTTGGGATTACCTAGCATCTTAGCTGTGAACTTAAATAGAGTCGTTTGATTGTTTTTATTCCAATATTCCTATGAATGTAGTAGTAAGGCTATTTTCTTTCTTTGTGTTGAGTTGGTGTTGGTGTGTGTGTTTTAAATTTTATAAATTTTTTGAGTTGATGGGTTCAGAGGATATGTAAGTCAAATTAGTTGTAATTATAATCTCAGTTGTTATACGTTTGGGTGTTAATGGAAGCTTTGCTGGCTAGTCACGATGGGACAACTGGCACAGGATGAGGCCAAATCACACAATGAATTGCATTAAATGATTCAAAGTTGCATAGCAAAATCAATTAAACCATCACTGATTTTAGGTCATAGTTTTTAAAACATTTTCATTATTATTTTCCAAGATATTTGTGAAATGGAAATTTTTATCCAACCAATCCAAAAATTTGCAATTGGGAAGGGAAATATATTGAAACTTTGTAAATTGCAACAAGTGTTCTTTTATAAAGTTTTGGGCCAATTGTATTTGAAAGATTATTTATTTTATTTACCAACGTTTATCAGAAAGAAACCATAAGAGGATTTAAAAAACATAATTCGGCCGAAAAAGAATAAATGAAAAGTGAAAATTTGCTTCGCTTGAATATTTTCATTATTAATAATGAATAAAATAATCGTTGTATTGACATATCATATTATTAAAAAATAAAAAAGAATTATATGTAAAAATGCTTAATATAAACGCATGCATCATTTGCTATTCTACAGTGCTTTTCAATTTTAATAGACCCCGTCACCAAGGTTTTCTCTCTACAACTACAAGTATAAAATTCAAGTTATCCCGCATTTGATATAGCTTGTTATCTTTCCATTGCTCCCCAATTACTTTAAAATTTTCGCGCCATCACGCTGCTGATGGTACATTAACGTTTCGAAAAAATATGATTCTAATTGTGAAAATATTCTTTTGAGACATTGCATTTCTTCTATAAGAACCTCGATAAGTTTTGACGAATCGTGCACGAATCTCTTCTAGATATCAAATTATTTTTTTTAAAAAAAAGTGAGATTTAGTTTATGAAATCGCGCATAATTTTTGATCATACAAATATTTTGAAAATGACAAAACGCACCTTGTAATTATCGATATTTGAACAAGATTCGGCGTGAGATATGTGTCTGATAGATAACTTTTGATGACGCTAAATATGTATGACTTTTTTTTTTGTGTATTTGATTAAAAAATGAATTGGAATAAATTTCATTTGCTTTTAGATAATATACCTTTTACAACATTTTAAAGCTCGTTGAAATTTTAAAATCTTTGTATATTCTTTCGATGTGTCTCCAAATTCCTTTATTACCCGATATAGTATAAAGTAAATAATAAGTCTCAGAATTCTAATAAACCCACATTATCAATGAGTGTAGTAAATAGTTTCTTTTTCAGTATCGACGTCGTATAGCAGATTTGATGGAACTACCAGAAATATATTTCGGATCGTATTCTTTTGAGAATTGATAGAATGAAGAAGATACAAGCCATAATAACACCCCAGAAAAATTTTCAAGAATCTAAGAATACCTATAGAAATTCAATAGCCAGGATTGTAAAGTAGATAGTTGATGATTCCCAAGGAATCTATCTATCAAGGCATTTTTAATCCAAGTACTAAATTGAATGAAAATAAGCGCCCATTCATCCTTTCTTTTTCGAGAATATATAGTTTTCGAGCCAAAGGAAATTCTTTTTTTTAATTTCAATTTTCAACCTGAGAAAATAATTTTTAACGATCCTTGGTCTCTTGGTTTCCTATAATCGGATAATCTTGTATCACTTGAATCGCTTTACGCGTTCTAATATTCGTCCATTCGCTGGTCGCCATAATATAGCAGCAATTTGCTTTCGTGTGTTGTATTCGAAGAATCAGAAATTAAAATGTATAGGTTTCATAATGACATGAAAGTGGTTAAGAGTAATTCGTAAACTTCTCAGAAAGAGTTATCTTCTAAAGACGAGATCTTCTGTCTAAAATAATTCAGCTTTAGGTCTTGATTGTATCCTTGTATTAGAAAAGGTTGATTAATTTAAGGTTAGAAAGTCGGAGATTCAAACTATGTTCTTTCTTTTAAATATTGTTAAGGGACGGCATTCATTTTGCTGCTTCAATTATTTGGTCGAAGTTAAGATCTAGTTGAGAATTTTCGATATCTCAACATTTTGGCTTGATAAGACAATATTTCGTCTAAGGTAAATTTATTTTCTAAAAAATAACCAATTTCGTCCCTAATATTGCTGAACTGAGTAGTGAAATCTTTTTGTTCTACAGTTAAAATATTTCTTTCGATATTTGTAGCAAGTTTTTTGGGCGACTTTCGCCGATTTTCTATTACCGTACTTTGATGTGAGTCTGAATCAAGAAGTTTCGTTTGGGAAATTTTTAGTTGATGTAGCAACGAGGTTGTACCTTCAGCCTTCTGCTGTCTTCTTTTAATATCTTTCAGGGGCCGAGAGATGGTCGTGTCGCGCTCGACAAATTCTTTCCATAAATCATAGTCTATCCACAAGTTAGGGACTGCGGAAAGGATAATATACCATCCTAGAAGTAGTATCGCCCATTCTAAGTATATCGTGTTCAACCTACTTGATTGTAAATTGCTAATGTCATTATGCCAATATGTTTCGTTTGGAATAATGCCAGAAAATACGTTGTCGTTATTAAGTGATAAAAAAATTTTGCTCATGTTGTTTGGATAAAGTTTCAATTGATGTGATGTTGATCTTTGATGTTCTATGTTACTTATAAAAAACCATTAAGCCAATCATGAGATGCCAATTTTTTTTTGAAGACGCAGCTTCGATTCAATTTTTTTGAATATAGATCTTTGACAAGGTTAACTGATTATAAGTTTGAATTATCTTTTATCAACTAGTTGGAAGCTAATGAGGTCATTTAAAACTTCTCTTTATATGAGGAGTTAGTTTGCTTTCACCTAACAAAACTTTCGAAAAATGTAATTATATCAACCTTTGAAATAAATCACGTGACACGAATTCATTTTAAGATTTCTAATAAGTAATAAAATAAATTCTTGTGATGCATCTCATATAACAAAGAACTATATAATTAAAAGACAGTCCTAATATTTCTTATTATTAGCTTAGAATTTGAGAAACTTGGTTAATTATTATTATACTTGATATGTAAAATTGTGAGTAAATATCTTAAAGATAAATATACACATACTGCAATAATGCTTTGTATAGATTAGATTTTTTCTAGAGTATTTATCAATTTGTCATAAGATGATATGGATAGTATTCTATTAAAATTGAGGTACAGATCATATGATTTACTATGTCTCGTAACCCACTTTTAATAGATCAGCTCCCATATGATTTAAATTCTCAAAATATTGAATTAATATACATTTTAAATTAAACAAACTTAACAAACTTATAATACATTACATAAGTATTTTGATAATTTAATTGATTTGTAATTATAATATATTATATAACTATAAACATTTTAAGTAATAGTTTTATAGGGTGATTACTAAAAAAATCAGTTTCTAAGAATTTTTATTGCATTTTAATTTTTAATAATATGTAATAGGATTTAATTTTATCAAAAAATTCTTAAAATTAATTTATTTAGCAATATTTACTATATTATTTATAGTATATACTTATTAAAAGATAATTTATATAGTTAATATTTACAATATAATAATTTTATGTAATAATATAATATTATTTTAAATAAAATATTGTAATAATATAAGAAAATAATTATTTAAAAAATCTGAATATATTTCTTATCTTACTTTAATTTATAAACTTTTTTATATACATTTTTTATATATTATTTTTTTATTATAAATTTGTGATCTAAGAAAATCAAGTTTTGAGAATTTTTTATCAAAAATAAGATTTTAATTGCATTTTAATTTTTATTACATTTAGACCAAATGTAATAAGACATCAATTTTAGTCAAAAATTTCTCAGAACCTGATTTTCTTAGATTACAATCCAAATTATTATAAAATTAGAAAATAAAATATTATAAATCAAAGTCAATTTTCATATTTAAATATGAATTTTATCAATCAATAATAAATATCATCATTTCTAATTCTATCAACTTTTTTATACATATTTGTTTACTATGTAAATTGAATATAATAATAGACTATATATATTTAATCTTTTTTTAATAAATTAGAAATTGTCTCTTTTATTTTTTTCTTTTTTGTTAGTTTTTTCTTTTTTATTAATAATATATTTTTCTCAATTTTCATTAATTTCTTTTTTTTAATAAAGGATCTTTCTTTCTTTTGAATAAGTTATATAACTTTTTAGAATTATTTTGGTAGTAGTTTTTTAGATTTTTACTAGTTTTTTTTTAATAGAAGTGGATTTTTGTTATTAGTTAAGATAAGTTTATAAATCAAGATGATTATTATTTAAATTACAAATTTTTCTTTTTTTTAATAGAAGTTGACTTTTCTTGCCTATTGGTTAAGGTATACATACTATAAATCAGGATTGTTTTTTCAGATTTTTAATATTTTTTCTTTTTTTTAATAGAAGTAAACTTTTCTTGCTTATTTGCTAAGATATACTACAAATCAAAACCCTTCTGATGATATTTTTTTCAGATTTTCATAATATTTCTTTTTTTTAATAGTAATAAACTTTTTTCTTATAAAATATAGCAAATAATTAAATAAATTTGCATCTATATAATTAATAATTAATATCTCTAATTATTTTAAATTAAACCTAATGATATTCCTTTATATATAATATATGCAAATTTATTTACAAATATTTTTAAATTAAATTATTATAATAAAATATATTAAATATAACAAAAATTATTAAAATATAATACTATGATCTTTTATCTATAATACAATCAAATTTGATTGTAAAATTTAGCATATTAAATTTTTATGCAATAAGTAAATTATATCACAAATAGCTTACAAGCAAATTTGCTTGTGATAATTATTCCTTCATTTATTAATGTAAACAAATTTATCTGTAAACTTAATAAGTTTAATTCGTAAAAGTTTTAAATAAAATAAAAATAATAAATAATAAAATAAAATTAAAAAAAAAGACTATAGAAGGAGAGGTTTGGAAAGGACTCGATCCCCCAGAAAAAATTTTTGATTTATTAATAAAATTTTAAAAATAACTAAATATTCTTATTTCATAATTATCAAAAATACAATTTGTATAATGCATTAAAAAATTGCAGGCAAATTTATTGCAAAGACCTACAAATAAAAAATTAATCATATTTTTATAATAAATATTATTTAATCTGATGCAGTAAAAAGCTTTTTATTTTTTTAACTTAAAAAATAATTTATCTGTATTTAAAAAAAAAAAAAAATAATAAAATTCTATTTCTAACAATATTTTTTTTATTTATTAATCCAAGTATATTTTTTTTTAAAAAAATCCTTTTTTAAAAATAAATATCATCTTAACAATCATTAACTTTTGTATAAAAATCATATAAATACTACTATTTTAAGAACTAATTAAATGTTTAATAGTCTATATGATACATATTACATTAAATTTATTTATTTATATCTATTCTTATATGAAAGCTTATCAATAGAAATAGGGAAATCTAAAAAAAATATTTTTATGAGTTAAAGTTAAATGTGAACTTATTTTACTAAAAAAATCATATTTAGCATATGAAGTAAAATTTTATTTTTTTTTAGATTTTCTTCTTTTCTATTGACAAACTCCCATATGTATATTCCATTATCAAAGAAACAGGTTTATAACTAGTATAATAATAATTTCCAACTTTATTTTTTTGACTTTTAATAATTTGAATAATATTTCAATATTAAAACTGGAAATAATCCAGTTTAAATCTATTTATAAATCTTATTTTATATAAAAATTTTCTTAATTTTAGTATGAGTATAAATAAACTTTTAGTGTAATTTACTTATAATAAAGAAATTTTTGTTAAGTCGTTAAATTTTTAATAAAGACATAATTTATCATAAATGTAAAAATTTGTAAAATACATAAAAAAAAGAAATAAAAATCCATTATCTATAATATTTGTTTTCTTGATTTTTTAATTTGTAAAAAAATTATTACTTTCAGTATAATAAAAAAAAGAGAAAAAATTAATAGGCCAGAAAATGAGTATTTTAAATTACATGAATTTACAGATTGGACTCAATTTAACTTTCTAAATTATTGGTATAATATACAAACAAATTTACTTTTATTTTTAATGAAAGAATTGAAAATGGTTATTTTAATAGATTTATAGAATCCTATAAAACCTTTAATACTGAAAAAGCAAATGAAATAAAAATTGAATTTATGGTAAATAAATAATTTATATAATTATAATATAAAAATTATTAAATGCTTTTTTTTTTTTAAAGAGTAAAAAAATAAAAAATCTATATTTATAAATGGATGGTGATGTGAAATTAAATGCAATAGTTATGAAGTAATATTAAAGTTTAATAAAGGATTTAAACTTGGATCCCATTAATTTCTTTTAAAGAAATTCATACTAATAAATCAAAGAATTTAATTCAATTTGAGGTAATGAAATAATAAAAGTTGTAATTAAATTATTTTTTATTTATATAATTACTAATATTTGTTTAATTTTACTAGAGAATTACATGGAAACTAAAGTCAGGAATAGATGTTTTTTCTGTTTTTGAGGAAATTTTATTTAATAAAAATATTAAAGCCAAGTATTATGAGTAAGTAATATAAAGCATTAATTTATTGCATTTCTAATTATTAATAAAATTTATTTTTTATTATTAGACCTATACAATCACAAATTATTGATTATACATTAAATAGAGAAAATTATTATGAATTATTCACTAAAAGTAAGTGGATTGAAATATATGTTATATATACTTCATATCAAGAAAATCATTTTATTAATGATAAATTTATATTGTATTTATAAGAATTATTGAAATGGATGGATATTAATCAATAACATAAAATTTTAACTTTACTATTACCCCTTTTTAAAGAAAAATACTCACTATATATCGAAGCACATATTTATAAAATTATATTAAAATCATTGCATATATAATTTAAACTTTTTTTTAAAAAAAAAAAATTTAATTTAAATTTTTAATAATAAGGAAAAAATTTTTGTTGACATGATAAAGAGTATCTTGTTAAAATATCTGAAGCCCAATATACTTCAAATACTCTTTTCGAAATATTTAATCATATATTATATTGATTAAACAATAACTTAAAAGTACAACTATAAGTAAAAATACATGTATTATTTATATAAATAAATTTTAATACATTTATTTATTAATTAAAAATTTATTTATTTTTAGTGGAGAAAAAGAAAATATAGAATTAAAACTTCAAAAAATACTTTCAAAAAAGTTTTATGATTTTAATGATAAATTGGTTTATAGAAGAAAATCCGATCTTTTAATAAAAAATTGTCAAAATAATGTATTTTTATTAGCAGAAGTAACTGGTCTACCATTAAAAAAAAATCAAAAAAAGGATTTTTGATTATGGTTATAATCATCATAATGGAAATGATGAATTTGAATACCGTAATTTATTAATAGTATATAATTCTAGGCCATCTTTAAATGAAAATCATATTAATAAATTAATGAAATTAATCAATGTACTTTTATTATAAATACATAATAAGTAAAAAATTGCTTTAATAATATTAAATTTTTAAATTATTTATTTTTTTTATTTTATAATTTAATAGCAAACATTCTAAAAGTTAATTTTTTGGATCAGCTAGCAAGTAATTTATATCGTTCAAAACAATTTATTGAAATAACAATACCATTATAATATAATAAAGATAATGTATTTACATTTATTAAAACTATACTTTATATTTGTGTAAATTAATTTAACTTTTTTAATTTTAATCAATATATAATATTAACTTTAATTTATAATATTATTAGCAAAAATAATAAAAAATTACAATATATTTAATATGTATTAAATTTCTTAATTCAAGATAAAAACAAAAACCAACCTGTAATATTTTTTGAAGTCACTAACACCTTCTGCATATAAGTTATTATCATTATCAACTTTAACATTTCCCACACTAAAAAATTTTCCAGAACGAGATTTATCACCTAATCCTTATATAGAAATATATGATCAAAATCTAATGAATTACGTAATTTTCAAAAATTTATAGATAATCTTAATGAAAAAAATAATATTCAAGAATATAATGAGATTGGTATTCTTCTAATTTAGATCCCATAATTTTAAATGATGATGATATTATTTATGAATAAATTAATTAAAGTAAGTTTATTTAAAAAGTTTATAACTACATTATGATATAATATTAATTAATTTAATTACAATTTAGATCGATTTATTATTTGAAATAAAATAATTTGATCTTTTATTATTTTTTCTAATAATTTTAACTTCTCGTAAGTGATTGGATGAGTAAATTATATTTAACATTATATGTTTTCAATGAAATATATAATTGAAAACTCCTTGTAACTGATTGGAATAAAGTTATTCAATTTTTTTTTTTTAAAATTTAAAAATTTTTATTATAAAAATATATGGATATTTAACAATTTTTAACACATATGTATATAAATATATAAATTTAAATAAATATTTATAAAAAATGAAATTGCCAATTATTATTAAAAAAAATTTAAAGTTTTTGATTAAATATAATATGAAATGATGCATATAATTAGATATGATTGTATTAACAAATATAGAAATATAATACATAGTTTAAACTTTAAAATAAATTTGTTAATCTTTTTTATAATAAAAAGATTTTACTAAATATAGGTAGTAAGAAATAATTTTTTAAATTTTTACATGATTTTTAATTACAATCAAATTCTATTTTTTTTTCATTAATATAATTACTATATAAAGTATTTTAATATTAATTTTTCAATTTATTTATAAATAATTTAAACAACAAGTTTGTTATTTAACTTTTACTTTTTTTTATAATTTACTTTACTCAAAATTATTATAATATTACAAGAAAATATTCAAGAAAAAAATTTAGCAAATATTGAATATAATATACAAAGTTCAGCTGAAAAAACTAAATGTAAATATATCTTTTAATATATTAATTATCGTTATAATTATAATAATTAATATTATTTTGTTTTATATTATTAGAATTAGAAAAAGAGTTAGAAAATCTTAAAAAACAAAATGAGCAATTACAAGAAACACTTCAAAAAATGTAAGGAATATTATTAGAAAATATTAAATTAAACTTTATTTATAAAATTTATTAAATAATTAAATTTTAATAGCAACAATATTCAAGAAAGTCCTTACCTATTATTACTATAATTACTTCTGATTCAATACAAAATCATGTATTGATTATTAATAGAATTTTTAAACTACCAAATATTAATTATATAAATATTTCTGAAACCCTACAAATTTCAGAAAATGAATTTTTATCTTATAAGGTTTTTATTCATATATATTAACTAAATATACAAATACTAATACAATTTTATTAGAGTGATATTTGTGACTTGGTAAATTCAGGTCTTTTAGATTTATTAAAAACTTGGAAGGATCAAGAACATCGAAGAAATTTTAAAGTTATTTTAAAGTAAGTGTATATATTTTTATTTATTTATTTTAAATATATATAAATATTGTATGTATTATATTAAACCAATATTTGAATTATTAGTTTAAAGAAAAAAATCCTTTATTTTCAAATACGGCAAATGATTCGTTGTTATATTAATAATAAGCATAAACTATTTTAAATTTAAATTTTACATTTAGTTTTATATATTAATGTTCAATATATTTTTGAAATTTAGGTGGATATAAAAAAACAAAAGAATTTAAAAAAGTAAAAAAAAAAATATCAATAAAGAGAATAAGGTATATATTATTTTATAAAATTTTAATTTTTGAATAATTTTTATTACTTATTTTTATCATAAATATATAGAATAATACTACAGAATCACCTTCATCTACTGAAGAAAATAGTTTGAATAATAATATTGTTAAATTAAAAATAATAATTATTATTATTTTGCTAGAAGTTATAATATTAAATTTTTGATTTTTTTATTGATTTTCTATTAATAGCTTAATTCAATAAAACAAAAAAGCAAAGAAAATTCAAAAATATCAGTTGATAACTCTTTTATACAAGCCAAGATATGTATAATTTATTATTTTTAAATATATTTTACAAATTAAATTTTTTTTTTAAATTAGTCTAGTATAACTTCGTCAATACAAAAAGGTATTTCTATTATTTAAAACCTCATATTAGTTTTATTATTTTAAATTAATCAATTTAATACAATTAATAAATTATTTAATTGTTTTTCAAGTAAAATTTCTAATTTATTAATAAGTAAAGATATATAAAATTGGACTGCACTTTCAATTATCTACACCTATAGATATTGAATCTGACACTCTCACACTGATTCTAATATATCATATGATTCAGCAAAGGATAAAGGAAAAAAGGTGATTAGAAATAAACCTTTTAACAATTCGTCCACATTAATACAAGATAATTTGTTATCATATGTTAAAAAAAATCAAGAAAAACCAAATGTGCAGCAGCTGAAACTACAAAAAATGAATGAAAATAATAGCGATGAGGATTTACAAGAAATTTTACCTAAAAAGCACTTCAGCAACAAAAAATGAAAAAATATAAAGAAGAATATAATCATGAAGATTTATAAGAAATGAAATTTAATAAGCAACAGTATCATCTATAAAAAAAGAAATATAAAGATGTTCATAGTAATTAAAATTTACAAGAAATTTCACCTAAAAGACAGCAGCATTGGCAACAAAAATTGAATAAATATAAAGATTATAGTAATGAAGACTTACATGAAATTTCATTAAACTAACAGCAACTTCAAACAAAAATATATAAAGATGACAATTTACAAGAAATTCAACTTAAGAAACAACAACAAAAAAAGAATAAACACCAAAATGACGAAATTGATGAAAATTTGCAAAATATTTTATCAAAAGGCAAAAACAGGAACATGACTATTCATTAATTAATAAATTTGATAATGAATGTCGTTCTGGAAGATTATCAACTAAACTTCAAAAAAGTAAGCAAATAATCATACATAAATTTTAAATTTTAACAAATTTTTTCTAACCTTAAAACATTTTAAAATAGATTATAGAATTTAAAACTTTTAGTAACTATGTTTTATTATGTAAATATTGTTTTAAAAAATAATTGCAACTTAATTATAGTTTTTATTATTTAGTACAACTATAATGCGAAATATTAGAAAGGCGGCACCTAATGAATTTAGTTTATGTGACTATTACCGTCAGGTAAGAACATTTATAATAATCTTTATTTTTCTGACTAATCTAATTGAAATTTTTTTTTAAAAAAAAAAATTATCAGATGTTCATATACAGTATAAGTATAACTGTGGGGTCAAGTTATTGGTCTTTCTTTTTTTTAATCTTGTCTATATCTATATTTTTGTATTTTGCGGTCTATAAAATAAATTTTTTTTCAAAAAGCTTAAATTGAACAGATTATTTTAATGTGAAAAAAATAAAAATATATACATAAATGATTTATAGTAAAATATACGATATTTTTCAAAATTTTATTTGTTATGGTTATTTCATGTTTTGACATCCCACATAGTCCAGAAATCATCAGGTTATTTTTTGACACAAAACTTGTACAGAATTTTTTTATAGGGTTACCACACGCGACCTTGAATATCGACGAAAATTCGCTTCGGACCAAGCATACGTGAGTATGGCATTCTCATGAAACCAATTAGATATCCATTCGTTTGATATTAAGATCGATAAAAATGTCTCAGACGAATATAAAAGATTATCTCAAACCGGTTTAAAAACATTTCGTTAATAAAACCTTCAAAAAGCTTAAAATATCATAAGCTCGTATCACGTATCACATATCGCAGGCTCCCATGGCATCCGAAATCCGAAAACTTGTTAATATATGAACTATGATTGATTAAATTATATAGTCTATTACATAAATTTTGAAATTTTATATTTTATAATAAAAAAAAATTATTTTTTAATACGATATTTAGCTTCAAAGAATTGTTTATGTAACTTGCCGATCATCAAAAAACAATATTGTTGCACACAGTTCATGGTTATAAATAAAGAAATGTAAGCAGAAGGTTTAATTGTAAAAATGGATTATTATTAACAACGACAGAATTTAAAAAAGATGCAACGCAAATAAAGTATTGCCTCAATCGTCGGCGCTCTGCGTTAATTTTATTTAAAGGTTCGTTATTGTTGCATTGAAAGGGGAAATTACTAATTAAATTATCTACTTTCTATTTCTTAGGATCTACAAAATTCTAACTATATGCCGTACATTACACAATTCTAGGACACAATAGAATAATAGGAATAGAACATGGAACAAATATATTATTTATTATTGTAAACAATATGATTGTGAATTTTAGTATTGTGCACTAAATTTGGCGACCATACTAGCTGATCCCAGAAAATTTTAAATGTTTTGCATGTTGAATTTCTTTCTGTTCTCCAAGAATTTTATCATTTTTCTCGCTATATACGTTTCAAAATTAAAATAAAGAAAAAATGCAAAACGTCAAATCTTCAAATGAGTGGAATGAAGAAAACTTTTTAAGAAAAAATATCAAATTCTATGAATACAAACATTTTAATAATTTTCAAAAGATAGGTACAGGCAGCTTTGGAAATATATATCGTGTAAATTGGAAAAATTCGAAACAACAACTAGCATTAAAATCATTTCATAACATTAACGATGCCACTGTTAAAGAACTTGTTCGTGAGGTAATCAAGATACAATATATATATTAATCTAGTTTAAAACCATCAAAACTAAAATTTATTTATAATGATTTAGCTTGAATTTCAACGGGAAATTAATTTTCATGGCAACATCATCCGATTTTTGGGGATTACATCATCAAACCAAGGTATGTAATTTTAAAAAATGGTTAATTATAGTTTTATATTTACTTTTATATTTTAATTTTTATTATTATTATTTTTTTTTTTTTGTAAAAAAAAAAAATTAGAAAACCAAAATGAATTGAAAAATTATTGGTTGGTAAAAGAATACGCTGATGGCGGTTCGCTCAGAAACTATTTGAAGGATAATTTTGATAAACTTTCTTGGGGATATAAATACAACTTGGGATTCCAATTGGCTTGCGCTGTATCGAGTTTACATGACGAAGGAATAGTACATCGTGATTTGGTAACTTTATTATTAATTTTATTTTATCATGAACATTTCTTTTTAGTTATTAATAATAATCTTTTACCCGTTGTGATACTTAATTTTTTTTATATGCATAGCATTCCGGTAATATATTAATCCATCAAGGCGTTATTAAACTAACAGACTTTGGTTTATCAAAAAGGATAGAAGCAGTAAATAATCAGCCCAAAGTTTTTGGTGTGATTCCTTATGTTGATCCTAAGAGTTTTATTAAAAGAAGAAAAATTGACAATACATCGCAGCAATATAAACTTAATGAAAAAAGTGACGTTTACAGTGTTGGCGTGCTCTTGTGGGAGCTAACAAGTGGTCGTCCTCCCTTTCATGTTAAAGATGAAGTATATGACATTGGTTTGGCTATTGAAATTTCGCAAGGACTTAGAGAAAGCATCGTTCCTGGTACTCCGGAGGGTTATGTAAAAATTTATACTGGTAAATAAATTATTTTAAATTTAATCAAGAAAATAAATTTTATGATTACGGACATTTAAATTTTTTTATCGATTTTAGATTGTTGGGATAATGAGCCAGAAAATCGTCCGACCATGAACAAAGTCGTTGATGAATTTAATGCAATTATGAATAATTATTCTTACTTTAATGGCGTTAATGATTCTTCCGGTATTAACGATTCATTTCATGGGGAGTTCTATCAAATGGTTCAAAATTTTAATAATATGACTGCAAAAGAATCAGAATCGCATAATAAAGCATCAGTTATTCACGATGATACTGATGATACTATTGATAGTTTAACGATTACGGATTCTAATAAGGATGAGATATTAAATTCCTTAGGCGGATTGCAAAGATATCGAAAATTAGCAAAACTTGTTTGTAAGAATATTCAAATATCAACCCTACCAACTTTACCGAACTTCTTAACGGAACTTGATTGCTCTTATTCTCAAATAACCATCCTGCCAACTTTACCCAACTTTTTAACAAAACTTTATTGCTCCGATACTCAAATAACTATCCTACCTACCTTACCCGTCTCCTTAACAATACTCAAGTGCTATAACATTGAAATAAATAGCTTACCAACGTTACCCAACTCCTTAAAGAAGCTGTATTGCTCTTATACTCAAATAATTATCCTACCAAGTTTACCCAGCTCCTTATTGAAGCTCAAGTGTTATAACACTAAATTAACCAGCTTACCAACATTACCAAACTCTTTAACGGAACTTGATTGTTCTGATACTCCTATAACCATCCTACCGACTTTACCCAAATCCTTAACTATACTCTTTTGCAATTATACTAAAATAAATAGTTTGCCAACTTTATCCAACTGTTTAACGGAACTTTATTGCAAAGGTACTCAAATATCTGTCCTACCAACTTTACCCGACTCCTTAAAAAAACTCAATTGTTCTGATACTCGAATAATTATCCTACCAACGTTACCCAAATTTCTAAAAAAACTCAAGTGTTATAAATCTAAAATAAATAGTTTACCAAATTTACCAAACTTCTTAACAGAACTCGATTGTTCTGATACTCCAATAAGCATACTACCAACTTTACCCAATTCCTTAAAGAAATTCAAGTGTTATACTACCAAAATAACCAGCTTACCAACTTTACCGAACTCCTTAATAGAACTTGATTGTTCTGATACTCAAATATCCATACTACCGACTTTACCCAACTCTTTAACTATACTCTTTTGCAATTATACTAAAATAAATAGATTGCCAACTTTACCCAATTTTTTAACTGACCTAAATTGTTCAAGAACTCAAATAAATAGCATACCAGCTTTACCCGACTCCTTAATGAATCTCAATTGTTATAATACTAAAATCTTCAGCTTACCTACTTTACCAAATTCCTTAACTGAACTTAATTGTTCTAATACTTCATTAATCTTTCTACCATTTTTATCCAACTCCTTAAAGAAACTCAAGTGTTATAATACTAAATTAACCAGCTTACCAACATTACCAAACTCCTTAGCAGAACTTGATTCTTCAAATACCCAAATAAGGATTTTACCTACTTTACCCAATTCCTTGAGAAGACTCAATTGTGATAGCACTGAAATATATCGATTACCAAATTTACCCAATTCCTTAACAGATATTAGACCTCAATATTTAATAACTTAATTTTTTCTCTAATTTTCAAACCAAATCGACTAATTTCAATCTTTTATTTTCTACATATTTCATTTTTTGTGAAGTTAATTTATATAATAAATTTTATTAGAATTTCAAAATTATAGTTTTGAAAGTTTATTTTAATTATTTTATCTTTTTAATAAGCGAATTTTTAAATTAACATTATTTATAATAAAATCAACAGAATTTCATGTGTGATATGTACTGTATATCTAATATAATAATACTACAGCAAAACTTTAAATATATGAAGAATACTATATTAATTGGTTATACTAATCGTCATTTACGCAAACAAATAAAATGATGAGGGATTAGATTCTCAGGAGAATCTTTCGCTAGTGAATCTAACGATAAAATTTGTTGAACTTCCACTTTAAGCAATGTATTATGAATGTAAAATTTCACAGATAATTGGCAGAATTAAATTTATAAGTAATATATTTTATAAGCTTATAGTGATTTCTATCTAAGAACTAACAATAATATCCAATTACCACCTACAAAATAACTGAAATGAAAAAAAATTAGAAAATAACATTGTCTTGTATTTCGAGCATCTGTTTGGATACAAAATTTACTAAGACAAACCAGATAGGTGATTCAATATAATCAAACTAGAAATATAATTTCATATACGAATTATGCAAATTAAAAACTATTTTATTTTTCTAAAATTTTACTGAACTAGATGTAATAATGTTGAAAAATGTTTATATATTTCATTTCCTATGTAAATATTATGTATACATTTGTAAATTTTTCTAAAATATTCGACTGGAAAATTGTCATTAATTCTGGAAATAATTTCTTAGTTAGTTCTTCAAAAACGGTAAAACTATCCAACACAATTTTGCGCTTAACTAATTTCTTCATCATCTTTAGGTTCAACCGAATTTAAAAGAACTACATGATAAAAATTTTCCAAGATCCAATTTTTTTTGACAAATGATCATCGCACTTGATTTTTTTAGCCAATCAGATCATTCAATAAAACATTGAGGGAGGTGCTTGAGAACGGCCTTAGTCACGAACTATCAATACGATATCGTTGAACCTCCAAACATGTAACAATGTAAAGACATGCAGTCCAGTTAGAAATTTCTAGTACATTAGGACGTTTGACATCGTCATTAGATTGCATAAAAGGAATACAACTTATTTTAACGACATAAAAGGAAAAGCCAACAAAAAGGATATTTTATGTGAGAGATTTATACCGATATTTACATCTAAAACATCCTAACGAAGGAGAGAAGAGAAGGTACATATCAAGTTAGATTATAGTATGAGGGTCGTTATTCGATAAGGTTCTTTGTTTTCTATCTTCATCCTGAAAATTGAACCTCTTACCAATACGAATCAAAAATCTCTCATGAATCGATTTATTTACCTTCTGCATAAAAAGAATTGTATTTTGAAAATGTCATGTTCTTAGCAGATTCATCTTACATTTGTTAATAACTCTTGATATAGTCCTTTTATAATCGACTTGCACTGGAGTTAGTCTGAACTTCGAAAACAATTTAAGCTACTAATGCACTTTAGAGAAGAAGTTCCAAAATAGTTAATTCAATAAATAATTATATAAGCAGACAATGGAGCTAATAATAATATTGACATAAAAGCTCAACTATTAAAAAAATACAATTATATATTAAAATTGCGATGTTAAACCTTCTAAAATTCAAATAGAAATTTAATTTACTATTACTCTATAATGTCTGTAAAACATCACCAGTATGTTCGGATGTGCCCCAATAACGTACGAAATCGTTTAAGTGCAAATATGATGATATATGGAACAAACATTTAATTTTTCAATTTTTTTTAAAAAAGTTGATTCTTATTAGGGATGGTAACGGTCGGTTAATTGTCAGTCAACGATCAGAAGTCTTTGACCGAACGAATGGCTTTACTGACTGGCTGACCGACCCATTTAACAATAATATAATTTAAGTTCTCGATTGATAATTTTAATTTATAATACACAACATGGCATTTGCTAAAACTTCCTATTTTTATATAATTTACTTATTTCTTTTAGGCTAACTTGATATGCATGTTCATATTTAGTTATCGCGAACTTTTTTTAAAAAATAAATTAAAAATTTTTATTTATAAAAATAATTAACATCACTAAAATGATTGTTAATTAAATGCAAAGAATTCTTGGATTACTAATTAAAAAATGTCGGTCGATCAAAATCGGTCGGTCAACTGGTTAGTCAGAAACCTTTGACCGATCAATATCGGTCACGGTCATGACCGTAAACATGCATCCCTAATTCTAATAAAGTAAATATTTTAGAACTTTTTATCTCGGTCATTTAAACCATTTTGCATATTATTATTAGATTTTTTTGCTTTGCCATTCGAAAATAATTTTAATAAAAATAATCACGAAGAAAATTAAACTTTCACACGCTCTTTTAAACTTGATTATATCTTTTGATTAGTTAATGAATTACTCCTATTCAATCAGATAATAATCAGTTCAATCATTTATTTTGCCTTGCCATTTATCTTTTCCGCAATACAGTACTAATGCATATGGGGTCTTTGCAATAGAAAGGGGGGAAACTGCCGGAAAAAATCAATTTTACTTTATATTTCAAATATGATTTTTAGGCTGAAATATGTTCAAATTTAGCATTAACTCATTTTTTAATTTTCCGGCAGTTTCCCCCCTTTCTATTGCAAAGGCCCCATATGATCAATGAAATAATAATTAACATTAAACAAAAAAAAAAAAATTTATCATTTATTTTAAATCTTCAAATTCGTTGTCGAGACCAACAAATTCTGCTAGAAGATTACGATATGCGTAAATATTCAGTTAGTGAATACTATATTATTATCATTATAAATTTCTATTAGCGTAGTATTTATGTATTTAACCAATAAGCATTTATTTATATTGATTATGTGATTACAACCAACACTATATATAATTACTAAAACTTATTTAAATATATGAATCAATATTTGACATTTCATAGTTTAATAGTCGTTTACTAAAATATAAATATAAATTAATATTCATGTAATTTACAAATCAGAAACATAAATTGATAAACTTACCAGATAAATTTGCAATAGTACCAAATAGGATGTTGTCTGAATTTTCATTGTCAGTTTGAGATTCAGTATCAGAATTATTTGTCATTACAATTTCTATATATAATTTATATATAATGTAATCAATTAAATATATCAAAATAAATATTATTGCTTATATAAATACGTACGCTCGGCTGATTCTTTAATGCTCATTCTAAAGCCCATCTTCGAAAATACTTCCAATATTTCTAAAATAGTTGGTCTTTGTTCGGGTTTCTGGCTCCAGCATTTTTTGTATAGTTTTTCATAATCTGCAGGAGTATCGGGTACAGCATCCTCACGAATTTCATTAATAATAGCATTAGAAATATAAAAGCGCTCATTGTCTCTAAAGGGAGGATATCCACTAGAAATTTCCCACATTAATACACCATAACTATAAATATCTGAAGGTTTAATATATTGAAATTTTGGATTGACGAGTATTTGTGGTTCCATATAAGCAACTTTACCAAAAGTTCCATTACATATAGTGGAATTATTTTCAACTTTCGAAATACCAAAATCTGTGATTTTGGCATTATTTTCATGAATAACTATATTTTTAGAATGCTAAATAAAATACAAATTAATAATAATCATAATTGTTTATAAATAAAATAATAATTTTAATATTTACAAGATCCCTATGTAAGACATCCTCATTATGTAAATAATTCAATCCATCTGCGATTTGAAATGCCAATTTCTTCTTATCGCTCCAAGTTAAATCTCTAAAATTATGTTTAAGGTAATTTTGAAGATTACCACCATTTGCAAATTCCATGACAAGTAAAAATTCTTTTGTAACTTGTTCTTGTAAAATTTTTTAAAATGAGTTTATATTTTTTTTAAAAAAAAAAATGAAATAAATGTTAACTAATTATATTAATTACCTTGACTAATACCTAATAAACGTATAATACGATTACTATAATTGAGGCGCAAATGTACTTTTAACTCATAAATAAATGCATTTAATTTATTGCATTTTAATGCTTCTGTATTTGTTAATTTTTTGTAAACAATATAATCATTTGTTTTTAACCAAGTAGCTTTTATTATGCTTGCGAAACCTCCTTTATCGAGTGATTCTGGATCAATTAACTCGTTAAAGGATATAAATTTAACTTTATTTTCCAAAGAATTATTAATAAATTCAATCGTATCATTGTTGCTCTTTTGCTGATTATTAACATATTTTCCAACACTTTTTTCAGGTTTATTTTCACTTTTTATTAATCTTTGATGCCATTTAAATGCTTTTTTTAAATCTTCTTTTACACCTATTCCATATTCATAACATTTAGCCAAATTATATTGCGCATCTCTATTTCCATTTTCTGCTGATTTTTGATACCAATAAAATGCCTTTTCTAAATCTTTTTTAATTCCTATACCTTCTTCATAAAATAAACCTAATTTGCATTGTGCAATTTCATTATCATTTTCTGCTGATTTTTGATACCAATAAAATGCTTTTTTAAGATCTTTTTTAATTGATATACCTTTTTCATAAAAAAAGCCCAAATTATATTGTGCAAATTCATTTTCATTTTCTGCTGATTTTTCATACCATTTAAATGATTTAACAATATCTTTTTTAATTCCTAATCCATAACGATAACAAATAGCTAAATTACATTGTGCAATTATATTTTCATTTTCTGCTGATTTTTGATACCAATAAAATGCTGCTTCTAAATTTTTTTCAATATTTATACCTTTTTCATAAAAATATCCTAGATCGTTTTGTGCATTACTATATTCTTGATTAGCTGCTTTTTCATACCATTCAAATGCTTTACTGATATCCCTTTTAATATTATTTCCATAATAATAAGAATCACCTAAATTATATTGTGCAACTTTATTTCCATTATTTGCTGCTTTATGATACCAATCAAATGCTTTTTCTAAATCTCTCTCTCCATTTATACCTTTTTCATAAAAAAATCCTAAAATATTTTGTGCATTGCTATTTTCTTGTTTTGCAGATTTATCATACAATTCAAATGCTTTATTAATGTCTTGTTTAATACCTTTTCCATAATAATAAAAATTACCCAAATTATATTGTGCATTACAATTATTTTGATTAACTAATTTTTGATACCAGTAAAATGCTTCTTCTAAATTCATTTCAACACCTAATCCATTTTGATAACATTCAGCTAATTTATATTGTGCATTATTATTACCACTTTTAGCTGAAGTCTTATACCAAAAAAATGCTTTTTCCAAATTTTTTTTAATTTTCCATCCATTTTGAAAAAATTGGGCTAAATTATATTGTGCATTTTTATTGCCATTTTTAGCAGATAGCTCATACCAGAAAAATGCATTTTCTAAATCCTTTTCAGTTCCCCATCCATTTTGATAACATTCACCTAATCTATATTGTGCAATTTCATCATCATTATCTGCTGATATGTATAACAAATCAAATGCTTTTTTATTACCATTTTTTGCTGATTCTTTATACCAATAAAATGCATTTTTAATATCCTGTTCAACTACCCATCCATTTTGAAAAAATTTAGCTAAATTATATTGTGCAAAACTATTATTTTGATTAGCTGATTTTTGATACCAAAAGAATGCATTTTCTAAATTCTTTTCAGTTTCCCATCCATTTTTATAACATTTAGCTAATATATATTGAGCAATTTCATTATCATTATCTGCTGATATGTATAACAAATCAAATGCTTTTTTATTACCATTTTCTACTGATTTTTGATACCAAAAAAATGCATTTTTAATATCCTGTTCAACTACCCATCCATTTTGAAAAAATTTAGCTAAATTATATTGTGCAAAACTATTATTTTGGTTAGCTGATTTTTGATACCAAAAAAATGCATTTTCTAAATTCTTTTCAGTTCCCCATCCATTTTGGTAACATTCAGCTAATCTATATTGAGAAATTTCATTATCATTATCTGCTGATATATATAACAAATCAAATGCTTTTTTATTACCATTTTCTACTGATTTTTGATACCAAAAAAATGCATTTTCTAAATTCTTTTCAGTTTCCCATCCATTTTGATAACATTTAGCTAATCTATATTGTGCAATTTCATTATCATTTTCTGCTGATATGTGTAACCAATAAAATGCTTCAATATTACCATTTTTTGCTGATTCTTTATACCAATAAAATGCATTTTTAATATTTTGTTCAACTACCCATCCATTTTGAAAAAATTTAGCTAAATTATATTGTGCAAAACTATTATTTTGATTAGCTGATTTTTGATACCAATGAAATGCTTTTTCTAAATCTTTTTTAATTTTCCATCCATGATAAAAAAATTCAGCTAAACTATATTGTGCATCACTATTATTTTGATTAGCTAATTTTTGATACCAATAAAATGCATTTTTCAAATCTCTTCCAATTCCCCATCCATTTTGATAACATTTAGCTAAACTATATTGAGCAATTATGTCATTATCGCTATTTGCAAATACATATAAACAAGAAAATGCTTTTTTATTACCATTTTCTGCTGATTTTTGATACCAATAAAATGCTTTATTTAAATTTCTTTCAATTCCCCATCCATTTTGAAAAAGTTTAGCTAAATTAAATTGAGCATTACAATTATTTTGATCAGCTAATTTTTGATAACAATTTAATGCTATTTTAAAATTCTTTTTTTCACATACATTTTGAAAGAATTCAGCTAAATAATATTGTGCATTATTATTATGTTGATCAGCTGATTTTTGATACCAATAAAATGAATATTTTAAACTTATTTCAACACCCCATCCATTTTGATAACATTTAGCTAAATTATATTGTGCATTATGATTACCATTTTTTGCTGATTTTTCATACCAAAAAAATGCTTGTTTTAAATCCTTTTTAATTAACCATCCTTTTTGATGAAATTCAGCTAAACTATATTGTGCTATATTATTACCAATATATGCTAATTTGCATAAGTAATCAAATGCTTCATCATAACCATTTACTGCTGATTTTAGATACCAATAAAATGCTCTTTCTGTATCCTTTTTAATTATCCATCCATTTTGAAAATATTTAGCTAAATTATATTGTGCAATTTTATTACCACTTTTGGCTGAAATCTCATACCAATAAAATGCTTTTTGAAAGTTTATTTCAATTCCCCATCCTTTTTGATAACATTCTGCTAAACAGTATTGTGCAATTACATTTTTATTATTAGCTGATATATATAAACAATAAAATGCTTCAGTTTTACCATTTTCTGCTGATTTTTGATACCAATAAAATGCTTTTTCTAAATTTTTTTCAATTTTCCATCCATTTTGAAAGTATTTAGCTAAACTATATTGTGCATTTTTATTATTACTTTTTGCTGATATTTTATACCAAAAAAATGCTTCTTTTAAATTTTTTTTAATTTCCCATCCATTTTGATAACATTCAGCTAAACTATATTGTGCAATCTCATTATCATTTTCTGCAGATATTTTTAACCAATAAAATGCTTTTTCTAAATCCTTTTTAACTCCCCATCCATTTTCAAAAAATTCAAATAATTTATATTGAGCATTCTTATTATTTTGATTAGCTGATTGTTGATACCAATAAAATGCATTTTCTAAATTCATTTCAATTCCCCATCCATTTTGATAACATTTAGCTAAATTATATTGTGCACTTTTATTACCACTTTTAATTGATATTTTATACCAAAAAAATGTATTTTCTAAATTTTTCTCAATTATATATCCATTTTGAAATAAATTAATCAAACTATATAACAAATTGCTATTTTTTTGATCAGCTGATTTATAATACCAATAAAATGCTTTTTCTAAATTTTTTTCAACTTCCCAACCATTTTGATAACATTTAGCTAAATTATATTGTGCATTACTATTATTATTATTTGCAAATTTTTGAAATAAATTAAATACTAAAATAATATTTTAAAAATTATTAACTTAATTTTAATTTAATTAAAGAAATTATTAAAATTAAATTGACATACATTCTACAAAATTAATTTTTAAATTTTAAATATTAAATAATATAAATAAATTAAAATTATAAAAAAAAATAATAATTACCTATTATAATATTTCATATTTTAAAAAACAATTTTATTTAAAAAATAATTAATTAATAAAAATATTATTATTATAATTTTTTTATTATTAATATAATATAATAATATAATATTTCATATTTTAAAAAACAATTTTATTTAAAAAATAATTAATTAATAAAAATATTATTATTATAATTTTTTTATTATTAATATAATATAATAATTAAATAATTTAACTTACGAACTATATAATAAAAGAATTTATTATAATTTTAAAAAATAATATAATAAATATAGATTTATATAAATAAAAAAATACAAATAATTTTAACTTACATCCTATAATATAAAAAGATTTTAATATTAAATATATTAAAAATCATGATTTTATTATAAAAATACTTACTTTCTATAAATATTAAAAATATATATTTTTATTTATTTTTAACAAGAATTTAATTAACTTTAAATTTACATAAATTTATAATTAAAAATATAATAGAAAATATTTTACCATCTATAATATTAAGATTTTTAAATAAAATTTTAAATAAAATTAAAAAAATAATAATAAAAAATCAAAAATTAATTTACCTTCTATAATATATATTTATATAAAATTATAATTTTGTTTTAAATTTAAAAATATGCAAAATAAATTAATATTGAAAAGTAAAATATAACTACTATATTTATGATTAATAAAAAATTTAAATAAGTTATTTATTAAATTAATTTAATAAAAAATTAAAAAATTAAATAATTAATAAATAACTTACTAACTATATTATTAAAATGGTTTATTAAAAATAAGCTTTTAATTAATTTTGAATTAATATAAAATCGAATTAAAGATAAGTATAAAAACTTACTTTTAATATATTACCATCTATAATAAGAATTTATTTAAATATAAAATAAAATTATTCTATAAATAAATCTTAATAATTAATTAAATAACTTACTTTCTGTATTATTATGTATTAAAATAAATAAATTCAAATTATAAAAAATATAAAAATAAATTATTAAAAATATTATTATTTTAAATAAAAATTTTTAAATAAATTAAACAAAAAATACAATAAAATTTTCAAAAAAATAATTACCTTCTGTAATCATTAAATATAAAATTAGTTACATTTAAATTAATATTAAGACTTGAGAATTAATAAAATAACTTACTAACTATATATTTTATAAAATAAAATTAGTTAATTAAATAATACAAAAAAAAAGAAATTATAAGCAAATGAAAATTACTTTTACTTACAATCTATAATAAATTTTTTAAACAAAATTTATAGTTGTATTTTTAATTATGTGTTGCTAATATATTATATAATCGATATCAATTTATTGTTAAGCATAACTTACATCCTATAATATTAAATTTTCATATAAATAAGAGTTTAAATTATACAGCTTTAAATCGTTATAGATAAACTTACTTTCTATGAGTGCTAATAAAATAAATTATAAAAATTAAATTATTTTAAATTATATATACAACACAAAAACATATAAACAACTCACTATCTGTAAAATTATATTTTTAAATTTAATTGATCATAATGAATAACGTAAAATATAATATAATTAAATAACATAAAATTTACCGGATTCATCCTCAATTAAATAATTTACATCATGGTTTAACATTGTTATAGATTTATAGGAAGAAAAAAATTTACAATCATTTGGATAATTATCGTTTTTATATTGTACAAATTCCGGATTTAAGGCGATTAAGTAATTTCAGGAAATTAGTCATATAAAATTTTAAAATGTGGAACGTTACCTTTAAAATGAGGTCATTTCCCGACGATCAATAACAACATAACAACTCTTCGGACGAACGTCATCTGCAATTTATAATTTTATTAAATATGCAACGTCATCAATAACTCCTCATTTATCTTTACAATTTTGTTGAAAGTAAAAATAAGAATATCAGAATCAATTCATTATTTTATTAAGAATAATAAAAGATAAGAAAATATAAAACAATTCATAATTACGGGATGGGATAATAACGATAACGTAAATTTATTTAAATAAAAAATGATCATCATGTTTCGGATCATATGATTATGTCTAAATAACGACCCATATAATCCTTTTGAATTCACGTATGCCTTTTGTATCGGCTTGAAATTCAAGGTATTCTGATTGATTCTGTTCATTTATTTGCTAATTTAATAGTATAGCGAATAGCATAGAAATTGAACCTGAGCTTATGCGTTGATTGCACAATGAATATCGGTAATAGAATGCGATGACATTGATTAAGCTTCCTATGGTAAACCCAACAGGACAGGCTCTTTACTAATATTCTTCAATTTATAAAATAATCAACTATTACAAAAATTATCTAATAAATTATTTGAAGAAATCACGCCAATTTGAGATAATTCATGTAGACTATTATAATTTTTTAAATCGATTTTTAATTTATTATTATTTTAGTAAATTTTACTATTTAAAATACGCCCCAATTATGAAACAAAATGATATTATTTCCGTTAAGAGGAAGGTATAGATTTCCATATTCATAACCTGAATGCGATATACGATAAAGGCTAAGTTCTATTTTTTTATTGCAATATAGAGAATACTCAAAAAAAAATCGCCCTTTTTGCAATATTTTTTGAATTATTAATAGTTGATAAAAGATATATAATCAAGAATAAATATAAAATAAGATGCTAGAAATTTTTTAATTTTCGCTCTTATAATTAATAATTTAAAAAAAAAATATTTCAAAACTCAAGAAATAAGAAATTACAACAAAATCAAATAATATAAATAATATTCATGTTTTACATGATAAGATTTGGAGGAAATTTCTTTTTTTTTATTGAATTCGCAATATTTTTGTTATTTATAAAATGAAAAATGAATCAAGAAATTGATTAGAATGTCAGTGTCTCATAATGCGCAGTTATATGAAACGTAATATACTGTATGTACAATTTTAGCTTGTACTCATCAAAAAAAAAATTACAAAATTTCTCGTTTAAATGAACAGTAGTACGGTAATATGAAATAAAATAACTTTATAGAATCTACGTAATATTTGTGATAATTTTCGCCAGTAAAGGTCTAGAATTTGAAATTAAACACGTACAACAGAGATCTATTTTAAAAAATATGTTTTGCCCTTCAAGTGAATAACTAAACAATCAATCTAAGTAAACATAAACGAAAAAAGAAAGTTCGCTCCTGATCATGGCGCTGATGATAGATTTACTATATGCGGAAATTTAAGGCAAAATCTCGATAAATCCATCGAATAATAAAGCAAAGCTTTGGCTGTATGATGTAAATTTATTTCATTGTCATTTCGAAAAAAGCAATTAAACAATAAAAGAAATAGATTTAAAAAATAGAATATTCTATTTTTGGTTCTCATTTTGCAAAATAGCATTGTTTAATCAAATAAAAGAATTCTTTAACGTTTATTTTTTTAAACCAATCACAAAAAAAAAAATTTAAAAAATGAGTTGCATGTTGTTTTTGATTGGAATTTTCTTGATTTTTCGCGTCGTTCATAAAGTAAATTAACTCCTCCATTGGATTTACGAGAACCTCAAGAACCAAATTACCAAATTAACGGTTACAAATTTAATACACATATGTGTGATAACTAATTTTTTTTTTAACAAAAAGAAAAGTAATAACAACAAATTATAATTATTTTTTAACGACCGGAACATGTAAATCATATGTTCCGTAAGGTGTCGATCACCCATATATGGAAATCTGCCGTTACGCTGCAAGAAAATCCATCAAAAAAAAGGCTAGTTTATTTTTTTTTGTAATTTCAAATAAAGAAATTAAACAATCAAGACGAAGAAAGATCTAACAATCTTTATCTGATTTCATTTCTCTTGATTTTCATGAATATAAAGCGTCGCTATTTCTTTTCTAAATTTCAACTAAATTGTTTAAGCTCTTCCTTATTTTCAATTTAAGTGCAAACAAATTTTTTGAAAATGAATCGTATTATAACTTTACTATGTATTTTCTTGGTCCTCATATCATTCGCAAAATCAACTCCGATGGATTTACAAAAACGTGTTGACTCACTCGCTGACTTTAAACTGTGCAAAGGCAACAACTATCCAATAACCCTCACCTCAATGTCAATTTCTCCAAATCCGTTAGTCGCAGGTCAAAATATTACAGTTCGTATGGTTGGTAAAACGACAGTTGTTATTGAAAAAGGTGCATTAATGAGGATTTATCATGATCCTAAAGGAAAATTTGAACATGAAGCTGATTTTTGTAAATTATTTGTCGAGCCAAGCGGATCTATGTGCCCAGTTGAAAAGGGAAATCTCGACTTTACTGCAACTTGGCTTATAGAACAAGATCCTTCAGGACCTAAAAACATTATAACTTCATTATATACGAAATCCACTAGTAAGTAAAAGACTAACCTATTTATAATATTTAACTATTTCATTAATTAATTCTTTTCTTATTAGTTTCGAATCCGGATGAACAAATTCTGTTATGCAACGAGGGAATGCTTAAGGTTTTTCATCCTTGAATAACAGTATAATTATTATTTAATTATTTTATATTTTTGGTTCCTTTCTATATTTGTTCAATGTTTTTCGTGCAATTATTAAATAAAGGTTCGAAGAACACATTTTTTATGAAATAAATTCTTTAATATTAATATCCGATTAATATAAAAGAGTGATGACAAACGAGCACATTTCCAATAAATAATTTCTTTTAATAATTAACATCATTATACTCAATATATATCATATTTTCATTTTTAAAATAAAACTGGATATTAAAGAAATGAAAATATATTTACTACATTATGAATTGAATTTTTTGATAAATCTATTATCCCAACAATTCTAATTTCCGTGAAACACTGAATGTATGGACCTTTAATAGCCAACTAACTAGACAAGTCGTACCATAACTAAATTAATAATTCTTTTATTTAATAGACTATCAAAAAAACTAAGTAAAAATATATTATTTGCCAACACATATAGATCGATAAAGTTGCAACCTTCGTGATGGAACCGTTCGTCCTAAGCTAGGGAGTAAAACAATATGAGGGAATAGTCAATGAGAATTATTTTAAAAATAAATAAGATCACCTGACAATTTACGACAAATAATTGTACTTGAGAAGGAATACTGAAATATCAAATAACTTCTTCTTGCATTACTTCTACTTTAGCTTATAGGCGTAATTTCAAAACCTCCAAAAATCATGAAACTAATATTGTTTATTAAAAAAAAAAATAGAAATTCAAATATTCTAGTAAAGATCGAGTAATTACATAACATCTTGGGTTCGAGTTTTATATTAAGCGTTTACCGCAACACTTCGAGTTATTATGAACCTTTACATACCCTCACAAAGTACAAATCCGGAGGCTTGCTATTATATGTAAAAAAATACCTTTTCATGAGCATAAGTTCAAATCCTTCAAAAATTAGATACTCCTTCTAATTACATAATAAATATTTAACAGCATTATCAAATACATTTAAAAGCTATTTAAATGTATAATACCTTTAGCAAATAAACGATAAAGCCAGAAAGGTGGATTATTGACATGTAAAATATTAGCTAAGAAAAAAAGGGAAAAAAGATTTAGGTATTAAACGAGTCCCCAAAAAGGAATTCTAAAAATAAGGCTTTAGAGAATTTAACTCAAGTTTGCACCAAAAAAAAAATTTTAATTTTCCGAAACGGTGGAAATGGTTATTAAATAAATTTTTCGAATGCATAAAAAGCAAGTTCTATTCTATAAATGGTAACGGACAGAAAGGTAGTGAAAGATACGCGTGCGTGCAGCTAATGTAATATTTATTTTCTGGACCTTACCTATATAGTTAGTATGTACGAGATCCTGACCTTTTGAAGCTTTTTCTTTATCTTTATAAACCGAAGTAAAAAATAAAAGAAAGGAAAAGGCAATTGTTATATATTTTGTATGGCCAAACTTATTAAATATCGATTATTTGCCTTATTTATTTAGTAATGTCAGCTTTGAATTTCGTTAGTTTGTAGTTTTTCGGAATTCTAATCTCGTCCGTGCCATAATCAAAAAAAATTTGTTACCATTTAAAATTTAAAAAATCAAAATAATGTCTCTGTAATACATCCCATCTAAAAAATTAACAAAAAAAAAGATTACAAAAAGAATTTATCAATTTTTACTGAAGCTGTAGTACCAATGATTTGAAAAATAATCTTTCTCCTCTCGATTTATATGTTGTACTGTAGTTATCTTTACTACAATTTCTCCCTTTCATATGTTAGTTTGGTTGTGATCGGGAACCTCAACTACCATCATCTTTACTCAATTCTCAAAATGATTTTTTAAAAAAAAAATGTCAAAAAAGTTTATTAAACAGATGTTAGAGATATGATTTTTATGCGATATATTTATTCTGTTAGTTACTGGATCACTTAGCTATCTAACCTACAATTATTTCACCGATGTTTTTATTTCACCGAAAATGTCAATTCGCCGACAATCAATTCACTGACGATACTTTATCGACAAGGTCATTTCGTTGACATTTATTTACCGATAATAAAAAAAATTTAATATGGATCGATTTTAAGTTTTTTTAAAAAATTTTTTTAGTAAATTTATTTTTACTATTTACAATTTTTATGTTTAATAGCGAATCTTCATTTTTTGATTATAATAAGATAAAATATGAATATTACCGAAGAACATACATATTATTTATCTATTTTGTAATAGAAACTAATAAGAAATTATGTGAGTAGAAATATTATAAAGTTTAATGCTTTCTTGTATTTTTCAGTAAAATATAATATAGGAGTAGGCAATCACTACACTAAGATCTTAACTTTCTTAACTTACTTAAATTTCTATAATTTCTTTCTTAACTATCTGTAATTTCTTACTTTTCTTATAATATATTTATTTTGTTAGATATATTTATTTTCTTATATTTCTTTACTATATCTATTTCATATCAATGTATCCTGTAATAAATTTCCTATATCTTTACTATATAAATAGCAGAATTCATTACAAAATTCTAATAAATCAATAATATTTATCTCTATCAATTCATAAAATTGTATGTCATACTATTTGGAGAAATGACATTCTAGCTCCTCTTGCACCTCTGTTTCAAATTCTTTTGATATTATTATATCCTCTTATTAATGAATACCATTTATTCAGGCATTGTCTTGTCATTATTTGATTATTATTTTATTTATATGGGTAAACATAATCTTTGCTTATTTATAATTCATTCTTCTTTAAATCTATTTTGATAAAGATGACCTAACTCTTTAATATAATTAATAAATATTTCTTTCTTAGTTAAACTTAAAATAATAGCAGCATGCTCAGTATTAAGAATATTTTCAAATTCATCACTTGATTCATGGCGAAGATTTATTAAAGCTTCAATTGCATCGAAAGTCCAAACGATTCCAGCCATTTTTTTTGTAGAACAAATTTATTGAATCAAATCAATCAAAAATAAACTTCCTGTTAACAAATCCAATCTGTTAACTTAATGAGATACCATTTAAGCTTATAACGCTGAAATGTAATATCTTAATATATTATTTTCAAGTTTCATTTGTTTGTGAAAAATTTATTACTTCATAAAGTAAATAAGCTTAAGTGAAGAAGGATGAGCTTAATACTTATAAAAAATTTTAAATATACAATAAAATTCAAGTTCGTATAATTCATAATTATGATAAAATAAGTGTAAATTTGTCTTTTTTGTGTCAAAACCTTGAGCTGAAAATTGGGTCTTTTATACACCATTTTCAGAATTTTATTTTAACCTAATAAATTTATCATCATCACACATGTCAGAAATGAAGAGACTAAATTTATGGGGGAAAATATAGTGTAATATTTGCTCATTAATATTATTACTTTTGAAACTTGACAACTGTGTATTATTTCATTATTTACCTTGATAGTGCCGCCGCAACAGTGCTTGTGATTATTATTTTTCAGAATAATTATACAACTGAAAAATCTCAATAAGATGATCATCTTACGAAATATACTTTATTATTTGATTGTTTGGTATAATAAAATCACTATCCCTTCATGATAGAAGTATAATTTCGGCATTTCAACATGATCTTGTGTGAATACTGCAAGATCTGCAGCTTAATCTATTATTTTTAATGGTTTTGGTGAAATTATTGGTTCGAGACTACTAGTATTATAGTATCTATTAAGTTTAATATGATTTATTATTACAAATTTAATTATTTTATTTAAAAATGCGCAAATTCACATAATGTTTCCCTCGTACCATTTATAATTTTAGCATACTGCGTTCTTTTTTCTTACCATATGGTTTCTGTAAATAAATTAGAAATTTTAGGGATATTTTAAGGTAACAATAGTAACAATAGAGAATCGATAACTTTCTTTTTAATAAATCCTCGATATATCACAATCAATTACGCGATAACGATAACAATAGATTTATTTATTTATTTACTAAATGATTTAATTCATATTCTCCTTGTTTATTCAAAAAATATTAAAAATTATATTATTAATTGATAAATATTTTTGTGAAATTTTTTTTAAAAAACGTATTTCTGAATATAAATAGTTATTTCGATTACCAGTCCATAATTTTGTGACTATGGAAAAGGAACACCCTTTTATCCAATCCAAATTTATAAAATAATCTTATTATTAAAAGTTGTCGCTTTAATTGCCCCAAACAAATAAATATCCTATTATGATCGATTATTTATCATTAATACATACTCCTAAATAGAAACTTTTACGGTAATTACCATCTGTCAATTTACTTCAATTAATTTCAATTGATGTCAAGAAATTATAAAGTTAAAAATTCATGATAATGTTGAATAAGCTAATAATTTAAAAAAAAGTTATTTTTTTCAATACAATTATTATAAATTAATTTTTAATAGACCCGTAAAATCAAAGTTGTACATGCTCAAAAAACGAATTATATGCCTTTTCGGATAAAATCTGTTAATAAAGATTTTTATTTCGCATTAGTAAAATATAACAATTATAACTAAGCAGATAATATAAATTTTTATCGATTTATTGTCTTACAAAATTTTATTAATAATATAATATTTTGATGTGAAATAACAACCTGATATGTTTCCAAATCGACCTACTCTACTCTTAATCTTTTTGCTACGATTTTTAACGACCGGAAAATGATAATCTCATTTCTGCTAAACTTGCATGTAGAAAAAAATATAGTCATTCATTGAGGGTTGTACATATGGAATCAAACTTAATTGTTTATGTTATGTGGCTGCCGGCTTACCCAGCTTGCAATTTTTCGAAAATATAACAAGAACGCATCCCAAATTTATTGCACAACTGAATAATTATGAAAGAAGCAAAAGCTGTTGCTTCATTAC